TGCGTCATTAGATTATTTTTTCTAGTGACTTAAACGCATCCAAACACGGAGACAAGAGAGCTAGAAAATAGTACACTGCATATACCTGTTCCAGGTAGAGAAATGTATGTTGAATGAATTAACTATGAAAATGTATGCTCGCGACAAAAAATATGAAACCATTGGACTGACGGTCACGGAAAGCGTTTTCTAGTGTGATAAATTGAATGCTAAAAAGAAGCCATGTAAAAATGGCTTTGTGTGTTATCGTGTCTAATATGTAGGAGTCATATCCCAGCAATCAGCTGTAAATCAAGGCACGCGGACAGACACTGCAGTTATTAATTAATACGAAACCCCACAAGACTTTATTAAACAAATGATGATCATGTATTCGGTGGAGAGTGATCGTTTACCAATATCAACCAATCAACCATTGTGTGATTATTTAAAGCGAAATTTACTTTTATAGACAGGAATATACAAAACATGATATACACAAATATCAAAACTGTCGGACGTTTGGAAGAGGTCTGTCTGTTTGTCCTTTGTTGACTGTTTGATAGTCACCAATATGTCCCTCACTTTGGAAGCAATAGGTCGTTCGAACGAATTTAAGTTACAACAACAGGACTAAATAGGACACCAGCATTTTTCTACATAGCAAAAATTATCAACTCTTTCACCAATACCGAAGTCAAAAGATAACCGAAAGTTTTCCAAAATTACAAATTATTTGAAAATCTAAAAACAACTCAAACTACGAAGATTAATCCCGTAAGCGACTTAAAATTCGTAGATTACCAATAAAATTGCAAGAATCTAGTTAGGTTCTATCAAATAAAGGCAGGTGACGAGTCAGCCTCAGTACGGTCGCCGGAAGGTAGAAACCGCCTCGCCGAATATTGGCTTAGGTCCAAGCTCTTAAGACGTTATATTCATTCAAACTATATACCATAGATACTTCAATCACTAATATACACCTCGAGTGAATATGATGTTGTTTCTATTTTCCTAAAACGTATTTTAACGTGTATACGTAGCACACGTGGCTGTCGTATGGAAAATCCCCACGATATGCTATAAATGTGATGTCACGTGATACGTTGTACCTTTTTGAAGCTGATGCAGGAGATACGCATATATTTTATGTACCATTCAGGTAGTTATTCCATCGCCATTAGGCAAATGTAACAGAGTGATCATCCTTTGCGGTATATTTAAATAAAAATAGCACAGTTAATTTGCAGTTCGGTGAAACGATTGTTCCTTAAAAACAGACTAATCTTTGGCCTTTAAACAGACAGCTGATTCTAAATGTCATGTATTTCTTTTGTATAAGTTGTTTCATCTTAGCACTAATAAAAAGTGGAAAACTTTCCATTGTTTACCATTTTCCGAAAATAAGTAGGCTTATTTTGAAACACTTTTTGAAGAAATCCCCCCGGTCGTCACGACTTTTGGCATTATCTCATTCACAACACTTCTCCGTCGTCATTAACACACACTTCTACGTCGTTATTTACAAACACTTCTACGTCGTTATTCACAAACACTTCTACGTCGTTATTTACACACACTTCTACGTCGTCATTTACAAAGACTTCTACGTCGTTATTTACACACACTTCTACGTCGTTGTTTACAAACACCTTTCCGTCGTCATTTACAAACACTTATACGTCGTCATTCACAAACACTTCTACGTCGTCATTTACACTCACTTCTACGTCGTTATTTACAAACACTTCTACGTCGTTATTTACAAAGACTTCTACGTCGTCATTCACAAACACTTCTACGTCGTTATTTACACACACTTCTACGTCGTTATTTACACACACTTATACGTCGTTATTTACACACACACTTCTACGTCGTTATTTACAAACACTTCTACGTCGTTATTTACACACACTTCTACGTCGTTGTTTACAAACACTTCTACGTTGTCATTCAGAAATCCTGCGTCCTCCTTCAGAAATTCTGCGTCCTCGTTCAGAAATACATTAAATTCATTAACGCCGCAATATCAAACAGTATGTCGTCATATCAAAAGTACCACGTCATCATCACAAATTGTATCTCCGTCAAACCAAAAACTTCATCAACAATCGTTTATACTGCAAAAAATATATTCACTCCGTGTACACTTACAAATAATTCATTGTCATATGGACACGTCGGCTTGTTAAAAGAAATTTAGGACTTTCATTTGCGTTTTTTTTAAATTTTACAAATAAAATATATATTCTGTTTGGTTTGCCATTTTCCCTTAGTCATGTAAACTTTGGAGCGGAAGGAATCAGCTCAGAGTTATCTCCACTTGAATGCATTAACATAGTAGGCGTTGTGCCATGGTCGATTTCTGTATAATGTTTCCGTTGTGTAAGTAAATTAGGCCTCAGGTATTCCGGTCTCACCTGTTGTAAACATACTCTATCTATTGACCGACAGCTGATTAGCATGTGTGTCGAATTTCGTCTAGTTAAAGAGACTGCGCTCATCCTCAGACTTCCAATGTCAACACACGATGAATGTAGATTTTGTACCAGCGCATGTATTTTGTCTGAGAGGGTGTTAATTCTTATCATCGATGCAATGAACACACTTAATATTCCCTGATAATGTATGTATAAATCATATCATTTGTACTTTAGTTATCAAATTTCAATGAAGACGACTAAGCGATTCGTCCTCATATTAGTTTGTCCAGGTTTATAGGTAATTCAATATTGAAATTTGTTTTTTCCAAACAGCTAGCTGTAAGATAATATTACAGACTTTCTTGTCCCACCTATCAACGGAAAATTTATTAATGGTTTCGGAAGGAACATACCAGTTTTCAGATGAGGCGACCAATGTGGAACCCGTCAGTTACAGCTGTTATCTGTACACGGGGAATTGAAAATATAAAAGTCTATTTGCTTCATAAATGTTACTTTTTTGGTCTTTATCATTTTTATCTCCTCTCGTGCTTCGTAGTTCGACCGTATCCTGTCACGTGGAATGCCGCGTGTTTGACAAATTGGTGTTGACGTGCCCGTGAGAACATACCAGTCGTTATTGATATAAAGCAGTGTGCATTTACAAAAAGAAAAATAGAGTTGTACTCACAGATATAGACATAAAGAGGGCAACTACTGACAAGAGGAAAAGTCTCTTCCAGACCACTTTCAGGAGAGAAAGCGTCTTTTGTTTCATCGACAAGCAATTCAAATCAAACGATTTTTTTTTTATAAAATAAGAACTTGGTTTATAACAATAAAACCATCAGACATTCTAACAGAGATACAGCATCATGAACTTCATGTCACACATTTCCAAATAAAATTGTGGTGACAACCTTTTACATGTTCTTCATCAGCGTTTAACTGTAGACTTCTTATTTCAGCGTGAGTACTAATGAACGTTTTAAAACTGAAATCCAAGAGTCTAATGTTATTGTTTATTTGAAATATCTCTACATTAGACAAAAAAAAACGAATGAATATATAAATTGATATCCATTATACATTAATCAGCTGCTACGCTAATTATCAAACGAGTGTCTACTTTATTACCTCTATACAGCACGCATGTTAAAACATTTGATGACTAGACCGATTTTATGGCCATATTCAGAAGAAATATATATCGTCACAACGGAGAAACTCCTTGTTTCTGATAAAAGTCAGAACTTCATATTAAGTGTCCTACAGGTGTATTTTATTAGGTTGACAGCACACCTGACTATTATGTGTGACATCATTATGGTGACCTCCAGGTAACATAACTTAGACTCGTTCCGTTACTTAATACACGTCAAACCACATCCTGTCTTTCAAGAAGGTCACTGGGGCTTGGGAGAATGATACGACATATCTGAAATTATTATACTTCCGTGTTCTGTAGTCGTTTTCGCAGATATGTTATTAAATGCTTTTGAAAGATTGTGTGTGTCTGCAGCCAAACGAAAATTTCTTTTTAAAAGATACGCGAATCGTACCAATCAGGGAACCGTTTATAAACTATATGATTTATCTTCGATGTCAGTTATAAGTGTTCACTGCCGGTAAGAAGTGTTTTGAATATACATGGCGAGATCTCCATTATACACAAACATTTCAGGTACAGGTAAGTCAACTCTTATAGAAGATCAACGATAAAGAAATAAATGTAGAACGTAAACGACATTATGTGGAGTCATTCAGATTTACCAGTACAACGTTAGCGCGATCTACACAGAGTAAGTTCACCCTACGGTCTCATCAACACAATACAGGTAGATACTACATACCAGATCGAAAAATGAGTAAGACACACGTTTGTTCTGGCGAGTTTATTTACTTTAAATTATCACATTACAACATGTTTGTGTGTCCTTCAGTCTCGTGACATGTTCATCTATACATATCACCTTCAGTCTCGTGGAATGTATAGACATATCACCTACAGTCTTGTCGCATATATATATATCACCTTCAGTCTCGAGGAATGTATATATATATATATATATCACCTACAGTCTCGTCGCACACATATATATATATATATATATATATATTCCCCTCAGTCTCGTGATATGTTTTATATATTATATATATATATATCAACTTCAATCTCGTGACATAAATATATATATTACCCTCAGTCTCGTGATATGTTTTATATATATTTTATATATATATCACCTTCAGTCTCGTGGCATATATATATAGATACACCTTCAATCTCGTGACATATCTTATATATATTATATATATATCACCTTCAGACTCGTGGCATATATATATATATATATATATATATGTACCACCTTCAGTCTCGTGGTATATATATATCACCTTCAATCTCGTGACATATATATATACCCTCAGTCTCATGACATGTTACATATATATTATATATGTATATAACCTTCAGTCTCGGGACATATATATATCACCATCAACCCATTCCAAATTGATGACATTAACCCGAGTGTTCGTAACCCTTTGATGAAAACTCCAACACTGAAGAAAGATAATCCACAACAAGTTTATCACTCCATGCAGGTCTCTGCACACTTTCTAGAAATCCACAATGGCCGCCATGTGCTGTTGCCACAAGCAACATATTTGGATAAAACTGGAATATATCGAATGGCGTGTCAGTGTGTCTGCAGATGGGGTCGTCAGTACTACTCACACACAACACTGGCACCGAAATATCGTCCACATCCCGCATGGGATCATTCCGCTCCAGGAACTGTTCAAGCGATTCGTTACCATGGCAATACACATGCTTCTGAAATGTCGACATGCTCCAAGACAACATGGCTTTGGCAATATCCACTACTTCCGATAGCGCATGCGCATGTGTAAGTAATATAAGTTTTAATTTCGATAACAGGACAAACTCGTAAAATTTCGACATTCTGTGAATAAGTGTTTGTGAGACATCGTACACAGGTGATATGAAGGCGGTGGCCTTTAGTCGTGTTGATGACCCATACTCCCCAAGATACGAGAACAAAACGGTAGAACCGGATCCCATGGCAACTGCGACGATTTGGGAACGAGGGTGTTTCTGATGGATATACAACACCGACTGTCTAACATCAAGAGGGTCCCCAAAACTCTGAAGTTTTTTGGTTGTTAGGAAACTATTTCCATGACCACGACTGTTAAAAACAACAGTTCGGAATCCTTTACGTGCAATGGATCCACACAAATCCGATACTGAATAAGCATCACCAGTCAGTGACGGAAACACAATACAGATCGGGCTGTTTCGTCTGATGACGTAATTTGTGCCGATAACCCAATCCAGAGCAACAACCCCTTTGTCGGAAAGTTGGAGATATTCCCGTTCGTAATGCACAATACACTGAGGCCGAATGCTACCAAGGATCGTCTGCACGTGACGGTTCTTCATCCAGAAGCTGGGCCGAAATGGTCGTCTCATGATTGAGGATTTGTTGAGGAGGTGTGTGTTAAGAGTCGATTCCTTGTAGAATAACTTTGGTAGCGTGTCTCTCGAAGTGAAGAGCGAACGTACATAGAGCATCACGGCCAAAATGGAAGTACACACCAACGTCAGTGCGACCGGAAGTGGCACCATTATCGGCAAGAGGACCATATTGTCCATACCGTCTGTTATACATAAACATGTACTAGATAAGATTCACCTACATGTCATGGATCAGCAACTATCCGTTTGAATAAAAATCATCGGACACCCCATGCGTTCAAATAAGTGTCTGTAAAAACAATGGCATACTTGATCACCTAAGTCACAGGGGCGTTTATTTTCAAATAAATATCATTCGTAACCAATCAAGCGTCTGATGGATCTTGACATTGATGGCGCCGTCGTAAAGCTGTTGGTTATATAATGTGAAGAGTCATTGTGATCCAGTTATCCCTGGTCGGTTTATGTCTGTCTGTTGATCAGAGTAAGTCTCCACTCGGGCGTATCGACATGATGAATAATTACCACTTCATAATGTTCTTTTGTATCTGGAAAGGGAATAAAGATTAAATATTAACCTAACTATGTTGACGTTTAGAATGTCGCTTCCTTTGTTAATCACTTAGAAGTTTGTGAGTTCTCACCACATGCTGAGAAAGGATTTTTATTACGTATCGTGAAAATAAGTACCGTATTTAATACCAGTTACTTAATTTAACCGCTCTTTGTTGTCCTAATATATTTATGTCTATTTGTTTTTTTAACGACGTCAGTAAATGTTTCTCTGCTAATTCGCTGCATTTTCATTTGAAATCTCGTAATATGATATTGCATATGAACATTTACACAATGAACGGCAGGTTTGTGCCTGTCTCCGTAATTAATACCCGCCACTCGTCAATTGTCATGATGTATGATAATCTGCTCTTCAAATATACAAATGATTCGATCGATAAACAGGTTTCATACTATTTTTCTTATAATATTTGCCTTCGCAGAAACAACACGGTATAATACCAGTAACATATGTTTATTTTTTTCTTAAGTTAGTGTAAAACAAACTTGACATGGACACACTATGGCCGACAAGGTCACCTTTAAAATAAGAAAATGAGAAGAAAAAATAAACACATGTTAATAAAAGTTACTACTTCCTTCGCCGATGGTGTTACCAAACATGTACGGTGATTTCCATGAGCATACATAAATTTTGTTGTCTTGTAACGAGGGGTTTGTAAACCGATTGGTCCATGAACAAATTTTGTTGTCATAGTAACGACGGATCTGTCAATGAAATGGTTCATGAATAAGTCTTCTTACACGTGTATGATAAATTATTAAATTTATGTTAAAACTAGTTTTAATGTTAAACCTACCGAGCCTCTGTAAGGAAGACATCAGTATTGAAGTTATTCTAATGTATCCTTCAAAATTCATAGTGCCCTATCCAGAAGCACTGTCGGTATCAGAGGGAAGGACCGAATCTAATACCGCTCACAACAAATACGGTATGATCAATTGGATGTGCTCGCGTGCCTCGCCATTGAAATCCAATTCAGACAATCTCGTTTCCATTGGTAATACAACAAGGTGTTACATTTGCATAAATGCCAAGTAATACAAGTATCCGATATTTTGTCTGCGCGCGTTACACTAAATATAACGAAATAATACTAGGTATGTGTTTTAACTAAAGCGACAAAGCATACAAGACCATTCAAAAGTCAAATCAAACACGTTTTCCCGTTTACGTGACGCTAAGATCAGAAAAAAAGTACGAAGAAGTATAAATAACAATAATCATGTCATGAAGAGAAGAATTGAAGAAAAAAAAACAACATTAAAATATCATTAAAATATGATACAATAAAGGAGTGTGGAAAAATACCGAAATTAATCATACAAGTAATGTAATGAAGGGTGACAGCTATCGATAAAAAGGAAATCAAACTACAAGAAATTTATTTGAAAAGCAATGAAAAATATTTTTAAAAAATTATCACGAACAGTAAGTGAATCGAGGGGGAAATGTTACTGAAATAGCTAAGCTTACCTTTATGAATGAACTGCGGCAGTCATCTGTACACACACACATATATATATATAATGTATATAAATCAGTAAGCACGCGATATCTATGTCAGGAGGCCAACATCTATGTTTTATATACAACACAGTGGCTAGTGAACTACTTCCAATTCCCATCCGCGGGCTGATCAAAAGTATCAATCGGCGGTAATAAGGTCAGGCGTGACGTCATAGACGTAATTGTTTGCGGAATAATATACATTTACGGCCTCTGACGATCCGGTTTTATATGTACGAGTTATACTGTAGATGTATTGCTTCTAATACCAGTAATCGCCTGATATCAATATCCTGAGGGAAAACAAATAATTGTAAAAGTGGCTCACTTCTGACATCTGATGACAAAACTTGATAAGTTTGCCGTTTGCCAAACACTAAGGCCATTCCCCCGCCCGGCTTTGTCTGCCTCATCTGGTACAGAGCTTACTCACGGCTCGGTTGGTAGGAAATATCTGGAGATCGTGTTTCAGGTACGGTCGGTGTGTCGGTAGTTGTAAGGCGTTGTTATGTTGATTTGTAATAGACAGTTTCAATATAGCAATAATCTGTGACACATCACAGCTTTTGTGAGCAAATCATTTCGCCAATTAGACGTGACCTACTTCCGGTTTAGTGATTTTGCTGTTAGGGCCCAAAAGGAGGCGTTGACCCGGGGTTTCTTTTTTTTATTTTTTTTTATTATATGGTCATACTTATACATACAGAAATCAGTCAGTTTCAGGGTAACTATCGTGTTGAAATATCTTATACTCCTCAAGGTACAACGTCCGATTTTAGTGATGCCCTATCAGTCGCTGAAGATAACAGCGCACACCATTTTAATTTTTTTTTCTTTTCAAAAACGTAAACAATTTATATAATATTTACAGTCTAGTCCATTTTAATAATTAGTAACAATTTGCTGCAGAAAGATCAAAGTGATGCAGTAAAATGCACTGTGTTGCATTGCTATGGATAATTAGTTCGGTAGTTTGAAATGTCTCCGGTTATATTTGTTTGTGATGTCACTGAGATAAGTTCATGTAGATCTAGATATTTCCATACTTTATATCATATACCTTCTGTATGGATGTCTGTGGGAACAGTTTACCGTGAAATATTATGATTCACGATTTTCACCACAAAAAAGACTTGGAAAAAAATGACTTTAACTGTCATCTGATCCATCGATCAATTTGTATGTTTTTTTTTTGTTTTTTTTTTTTTTTTTTTTTTTTCAATAAGATTTAATTGACATGAAAATTCAATGGTATTTGAAACTGAAACCATTCTATATGCCTTCAACAGGACAAATATCGTATTTATCAGCAGCTAATCTATTGTATCTATGATAACGTTCCTTTGCTGGGGTGTATGTAGATAACAGAAGTATGTGTATATCAATTCGTGACGTCATCAGGATACATTCAAGGTCTTCAAAATAACATTATCAATGATATCTGATATCATAAAATCAAGTGTGTCACTGACACTGTGTGATGTCAATATGAAATAAAAACATTTCTCAAATATCTAAGGACCGTTACATTTACAGGTTTTAAAGTCGAAATATGGAGGGCAAAATCAAACAGAAGCAGGCATTTTGCTGCGCTGTTTTAATTCTTGATGTAAAATATTTTGACATCACAATCAATTTCTGACTACACGGTAGGGAAACTACGTCACAACATGGCGGATGTATCTCTCGCTCCGCGGTAAGTCTGTCTTACTTTTTACTCTGATCCCACGACTTCCCATTTATCGATATGGTCGAAAGTACATTTGATGCATCCCAGATTATTTGACTGGCTACGAATTACTCGCAGAATATGTCGTTGTTTCAAACATTCAAAGACCATCGTCATATACTCTTAACTTTGACGGTGTTTTCGTCAGGACAAATTGTTGTTTCATCAGATAAATGACTTGTGTGTGGATTATTGCTAAAATTTTATGTGTTTGCTCCCCTTGCCTACGCCAGTGGATAGGAATCATAGAAATGTTGGAAATACATAAACTCTATATTACTGGAAATACATAAACTCTATATTACGGGGCCCTTTCTTTTTAGCAATAAAGTTGAAAAGGACTCCTGAAAATAAATTGTTAATTGGTCACTGAAGGTTTAGTGACACTAAGGTCCGGGATTTGTTATGTTAACTGGATCATCCAAGCCGGAAATAAAGAACTAGAAAAAGTGCTTCAACGTTACAAATCTTAAAAGAACATATGTGATATCCCTATGATAGTGAAATCAAAATTATAAAAAATGAATTCACTTATTCACAAAAGTTTTCAATAAATCGACAGAAACTATTGATAGAGAGACACAAGAATGGGATTTAACACTGACTGACATGATTGGTAGTGGTCTGACTAGAACACGTACCGAGCCTACTTTAGAATGACAATTAAAACAAGTCATTAAATACCCTAACATTAACTCAGTACTATTGTGTCGTTAGAGGAACTATTTACATATTTTCAACTTTCATAAGGTCAACAACGTTGAGTTTCGACAAGTATTGTGTAACACCTGTATATTATATCGTTAGAGGAACTATTTACATATTTTCAACTTTCATAAGGTCAACAACGTTGAGTTTCGACAAGTGAATGTATTATCGTTATGGTTGTATTGTATAATGAGTGTAACCCCTATATATGATATCAGTGTATGATTGTATTGTATAATGAGTGTAACCCCTGTATATAATATCAGTGTATGATTGTATTGTATAATGAGTGTAACCCCTGTATATTATATCAGTGTATGATTGTATTGTATGAGTGTAACCCCTGTATTATATCAGTGTATGATTGTATTGTGTAATGTATGTAACCCCTGTATATTATATCATTGTATGATTGTATAATGAGTGTAACCCCTATTATATATATCAGTGTATGATTGTATAATGAGTGTAACCCCTGTATATTATATCAGTGTATGATTGTATTGTATAATGAGTGTAACCCCTGTATATTATATCATTGTATGATTGTATTGTATAATGAGTGTAACCCCTGTATATTATATCAGTGTTTGATTGTATAATGAGTGTAAACCCTGTATATTATATCAGTGTATGATTGTATTGTATAATGAG